TGTATTTATTTGAAACAGAAATCTTTTGCAACATTATATATGTCTTAACTCAAGAGAAGGTCTATAATCAGTTTAATGTGTCCTTGATTTAAAGTGTTAATTTCTTAAGGGAAAAAATTTTAAAACTTACTGACACCAAACTTTTAAATGTATATTTAGCCAACAAATATAGTATTATTTTATAATAATTAGATACATCTGAAAAAAAAAAAAAATAGCACACCTGTCCTCAACAAGGCACACAATAACTTATGTCTGGAGCACAAAAGTGAGTTAAACACCGAGGTTTAATATTTAAGGTCAGAGCCTAAGCCTAATTCTAAACAATAGTAACAGTGATGCTACCTTAGCAAACACTGAAAGCACTCTATTTCAGTCAGTTTTCATTACCCACATCTCCCTTTTCCATTAAGCTTAAACATAGTTGTAAAAACACAGCCCTGGGCTCAGTGTCCCCTGATTCTGCACACATAAGCAGCATAATGAGTCCTGTGCTTCGTTTCTTTGTTGTGTGACACTGGCCTCGTGGCTTGCGCTATATGCATTAAAATGAGAGAGTGTTGCACACAGAGAGGTTTGCATCAGCTGTGGCAGCCTGTCGATAACATTTCCACATGCAATTGGAAGTGGATGGAGGCTGAGAGAGCAAAACAATATCAATTAGACAGTTAAAGCTGTCATTATTCATTGTGCAATCATTATTTTCATAGAGAAATGGCCTGTAAAAACCAAGATGCACAAATTAAGTCAGATCCGACACATACAAATCTCTCATATACGCATTGTGTACAGATGCATATATGCAAACCAACAGGATTAATGCATTATATTAAAGAATTAAATTATGTATAGCTTTAATTCAAATTTAATTTGGCATTAAAGCATGTCACTGCAAAAAAATGGTATTTTGTGCCACTACAATCTCCATCACTGGCTGACATCAAAATCTATTGTGACCGCTACTCTGACCCCGATTCTTCATTCACTAAAACACACTGCAAAACAAGCAGGGAAGATCCTTCACGAACATGGTGCCACATACAGAGTAAACAACTAATAAATATTCACTTTTAAACAAATGAAAACATATCAAAGATTAAAGGTTCCTACATTATATCATAATGAAATCTCTTAGAGTTACTTTATTTATATACTTTATCTTTCAGGAAATTTGTCCTGAAATTTGTCTAATGTGCGTTTGAATGTCATTTTAGGCAGAATTACTAAATGTAAACTCACAATTTGAGAGAATTGAGAGAAGTAAACTTGCAATTGCAAGACATAAACTTACAAGACTCAAGTCAGAATTGTAAGATGAAAACAGAATCTTGAGGGGAAAGTGTGACATAAAAAAGTCATAATTATCCTGTGGAGGAGTTGTTAAAAGTGTGCTGCTTTCATGAGGAGTGCTGGGTCTGATCATTTGTTTGAGTGTTTGAAGAAAGAGTGTGATGAAGTTTTCCGCTTTCCCGATGGTGCCGTTGTTGTGCGAAAAACAGCTCATACTGCGAAGGACTGGGACGTCACAAAATGTGAGTGGTGGCGATGTGTGTAATGTATAATTATGTTCATTATGTCAAGCACATTCTAGAAGTGGCAGAAGTTTCCTAATATAAAAGCCGAGGGTTGCATTCGTTCTTCTGGTGCACTTTTCTAAGCGCACATTCACAGAGACATTGACACTCACAATGGCTTTCTTACTGCTCAACGGCAAATTTCATTTTCCTCTATACTGTAGATTTAATAGCAGCTCTGCTGTGAGTGTTTTATTTCTTTTTGTATTATAAAGTAGGTTGCATTGTGGATTTTTCTTGCTCATTTGAAATAATAAAAGGTTGATGTACAGTGTAACATTCGCATTGCAACTCCATCTACAACTAAGCTGCACAGACATCAGTTTTCCATATCATTGTCTATGCAGTATTCAGCCATGGAAAAAAAAGGTTTAGGATGTAAACCTTGAAATAGACTGTTTTACAAACAATTACAAAAACCATAATCCATAATAAAGCTTCCTCCAGTGAAAAAGTCTATCCCCTTTTGTCCTCTCACATCATATTTGTTTTTGATTGTGAACGATGCTTGATCTGTTCATATCTCTCTCCTGATTCAGACTTTTTAATTGGAGAAAGCAATAGGGATTTTAGCAGGAGGCAACAGTTTGAAGTTAAAAACCTCTTAATGATGGATTTGTTTCTTACAAACACGCAGCTTTTGGCTCCATATGACATTAACTGATGGAGTGGAGTGGTGTGGATTACTTGTGGATTATTGTGATGTTTTTATCAGCTGTTTGGATTCTGACGGCACCCATTCACTGCAGAGGATCCATTGCTGAGCAAGTGATGTAATGCTACATTTCTCCAAATCTGTTCTGATGAAGAAACAAACTCATCTACATCTTGGACAGCGTCGGAGTGAATAAATCCTCATCAAATTTTCATTTTTGTGTGAACTATTTCTTTAAAATCTGCGGCCATGCGTCTCGGCAGACTGCTGCGTTATCTGAATTCAAATGCGGCAGCTCAAGGTGAATATTCAGGCTCTGCTGACCGACACAGTCATGGTGACTTTGTTAGTCTGACCCTGGTTTGTCTGGGCTCATTTTGTTGGGTGAGGTCGCAGGACTGTTGCAGTCTCTCATGAACAGTGATGCACTCAGGTAGACGAGATCTTCTCTGTGTCATGTGCTCTTGCTGCACTCAAATTAGCACAGTGACTCACGACACACACTGAGCTTCCTTTCCATCTGACCAGTGTGTGTGTGTGTATATATATCGACTGGCAGCTCCAGGCTGAAAACAGATTGGTTCCCTATTGTTGTTACAACATTCCCCCCCTCCGGCATATTTTATCAAAACAATGTAGAGATCAGCCCATATAATTTTTTTAAACACTAAAACTAGTTATTTTTATTAAGGGCTTGACAACCAATACAGATCTGATTTTGGTAATATTTTACAATAAGGGTTTCATTCATTAACATTTAACACCATGCACTAGCACTATAGGTATCCTTAGTTAAAAATGAACAACTTTCTTCCATTTGTTAATCTACGTTAATGTTAATTTAAAAATATGCTACTGTTCATTGTTAATTCATCTTCATTCATAATACATGAACTGAATTACATAATTAATGTTAGTTAAAATAGTACTAGTATATAAATAATTCAACATTTTCTAAGATTAATGAATGCTTTAAAAGTATTGTTCATTGTTTGCATATGTTAGATATTGCATTAACTAATGTTATTGTATAGAACATTTTATTGCATAGAACATATTATTTCTGCTTATTTCTGACACATTAATCAGTAAATAAATCACTACAACAACATATGCACTATAAATTTAAAATGTATTGTTATTGTTATAAATTCAAGATGTAACGGTTATTATACATTATAAATTATTTAATATTTTGTTATTATTAAAGATGATTAATATTTAACAATAACAAATAATAGTTATAATACTATTAAAACTTTCAACTCTATGATCATTCTTGTTGTTGTTCTAAATTAAAACTTTCAACATTATTATAAATGACAATTTATAAGAAGTTTTGCAATCCAAATGTTGGTAAAATCTATCTTTATTTCATAACTATGAGTAAACTATTTGTTAGTTTCTCTGTCTATGTAAACATGCAGCAGAAGGACATGGTTAAAAACAGCTCAGCGAAAAGATGTCAATCTGGAAGCGTGCCAAATATTTTGAGTCTATCGGATGTTTACGGTTATTTTACCAAACAAGTTGTAACTATGTCAGAGAAACTAGCAGAGTTAATGTATCCATAAACATGCCTTCTGTTTAATTGTGTGGCGCTCTGTCTAGTCACTTTTAACGCAAGAATGTCTTCCGTGTAAACGGCCCCCTAGACTGTCACATGTGGCCTCTTATAAGACAGGGGAGAGGAAAGAAAGGTGCGATGAAGTCAGACACTGGAAACGGTCCAAATGTCACCCAGACGTCTCTCTGAAGGCTTACGGCGGGAGCACACTTTGTTTGCATTGACTGCTCAAGCTGGGTCACCTGACAGCCTCACAGAGACGTGTCACTTCCAGTCCACCGAAAGCACTGCATTCAGGCCTCGCTTCAAACCTTTTTTTTTAAAGGAGTAGTTCACACAAAAATTAACATTTGCAGATAATGTACTCACCCTCAGGCCATCCAAGATGTGGATGAGTTTGTTTCTTCATCAGAAAAGATTTAGAGTCATTTAAAATCAATTCCTCTCCAATGGATCCTCTGCAGTGAATGGGTGCCGTCAGAATGAGAGAAGAAACAGCTGATAAAAACATCACAATAATCCACTTGAGTCCAGTACATTAATTAACATCATGTGACGTGAAAAGCTACATGTTTGTAAGAAACAAACTATTGCTTCTTGCTAAAATACAAGTCCATAATCTATAATAAAGCTTCCTCCAGTGAAAAAAGTCCATCCTCTCTCACATTCTTTCACATCAAAATCCACCAACATATTTGTTTAGAACTGTTTTCCCTTGTAAACGGTGCTTGATCTGTGCATATTTCTCTCCCGATTCAAATTTTTCACTGCAGAAAGCAAAATGATGGATAGAGGACTCATATTTTAGCCCGAAGCAACGGTTTAAAGTAAAAAATGTCTTAATGATGGATTTGTTTCTTACAAACAAGAAGATTTCCGCTTCACAAGACATTAACTGATGGACTGGAGTGGTGTGGATTACTTGTGGATTATTGTGATGTTTTTATCAGCTGTTTGGACTCTCACACTCTGACGGCACCCATTCACTGCAGAGCATCCATTGGTGAGACAGTGATGTAAAGCTACATTTCTCCAAATCTGATGAAGAAACATCTTGGATGGTCTGAGGGTGAGGACATTTTCATCAAATTTTCATTTCTGGGTGAACTATTCCTTTAAAACCAACAACCCTTTAAGAGATGAATCAGTAAAAACAGCAAGGAATAACAGATGGAATAACAGATCCAATGCAAACACATCTTACCGGTGCACTTTTTAAGGCTTCCTGGCCGCTTTCCATGCATCCCCAGCTTGCATCCAAAGTTCTCCTCCCAGAACTCAGCAAACCACACGTTCCTTCTGTTATTGGAGAGCGAGCGGCTCCGGAAGTAGCGATCGAACGCTGAGGAGAGAGAGGTGAAGGAAAAAGAAGATAAGCATCTGAAAGAATGGCACACATTTATGTCGGTGAAGTGGTGGAGCATGCGCAAACCCTCGCTGGTATTCCTGTCTGGAAGTCTAATCCGTGTTCCCACAGACACAATTATACAATGTGTTCTGACAAAAGTGCTATAATTGGTGGGTCTATTCCAGAGCTGGTGCCTGCAGGCCTGAGAGCCGGCGCTTGAGGGACAGTGCTATGATTACTTGAATGCAGACAATGACCAGAAGGAGGCTTGGATATGCTTGGCGCTATATGGATGCGGTATTAAGTGTCAGAGCATGATGTTAATTGTTCGCAATGCTTGTGTGACACTATTGGAAAGCAGGAATAAATATCTCTATAAAAGTCTGAGCAATGCAATCTGGTGGAGATGAGAAGCACACTAACTGAACTCCTAAACTGCAATGCAAATATGAGAACCCGGGAATCAGTTTACTATGGCTGTTGACTTGTAGAAAGGCTTCTAAACAGGAACCAAAATGAACAATTGTATGCGTTTTCTTTATAATAGGATGAATTAATTCATGTATACTGAGACACTTTTTGATGTTGAGATGACTGTAAAATATTTGCCCAGTTGAATGGATTAAAAAATTATAAAATTAAATAAAAATGACTACTTCATGACTTACCATGCATTTTTATAATTAATCCAGTAGTTTGCTATTACTGTATTTTTAAAACTCATTTTATAGACATTGCACTCACAAATTTCCAACTGATTAAATAAATCATTTGAAGTTCACTAAAACTGTTTTTCATTAAACAAATTACTAAAAGTACTTACCATGATTCAAAGTATTATTTCTTACAGCTTGATAATCACTGTTTAAAATTCCCTAATATGTTTTAAAGTTTTAATTTTATAATTTTTTTTTACATTCACGCCTGGTTCTAAATATCAATCCTTTTGCTTATTCCTGTTACTAACACATAATATGTTTGATCAATTGTCACATACACCACCATTCAAACATTTGGGGTCAGTATAAACATTATTATATATATTATTATTATTATTAACTGTTATTATTATTTATGAAAGTAATATTTTTATTCAGCAAGGACTAATTAAATTGATCAAAAGTGACGGCAGAGACATTTATAATGTTACAAAGGATTTCCATTTCAAATAAATGCTGAAACTGGGATAATATTAAGAAATAATAATGATTTCTGAAGGAGCATGTGACACTGAAGACTGGAGTAATGATGCTGAAAATTCAGCTTTGATCACAGGAATAAATTACATTCTAAAACATTTGAGCAAAAAAAGTCTTCAAAGACAGTCTTACTGACCCCAGAGTTTTGAACGGTAGAGTAATAGTGAGTTCTGTGTTTTCACATGTACGTACCCTCCACCGTGGCGCGTTTGGGCAGGATGGTAATGGCCCCTTCTGCTACTCTCTCCTGCTGAATGACCGGTGAGATCTTGGAGCCCCAGCTGTCAGACCCCACCCACAGGAAATGACCCGTCTGGTTGCTCCTCTTGGCAGCATCCAGCACTCGTCTGCAGACATAAACAATGATGCATCAGCTTCAAACAACAGAACACAGTGCCAGCACATCCATCTCTCACGCCTGACGCTGTGCCGTATCTTATCTGCAGTTCAGAGAAATGTACGTCAGGAGCTGCCGGCATCTGTTTGCTGTAGCTCAGCGACCGACTGATATTCAAATAAAGACACGCTCTCGATCCTCACTCATGGATGAGACTCGGATGGGCCCTGGAGATCTTAAGCTGGGATTTCAATGGTCAGCCCTGAGAAGTTCTCGTCCATCTGTCCGCTTCTCACTAATATACTCTCTATATATTTTATTGAGAGGGATTTGAGAGAGAGGACAGGAGCGCTGTCAAGCTGCTAGCACATTCTGTCACTGTCAAACATGGAGAGAGAAGCGACTGAAGGCCAAATCCAAAACATGAAATTGCGGAAACCAAAATGTTATGGAAAGGTCTGATTCAGCATCAAAGTGAATGCTTATCATCTAAATATTTGGATTATTTTGTAAACATACATTTTGTAGTTGGATCAAATAATGATTCGAGAAAGACATTCAGCAACTCCAATAAGTTAGTCATTGATTTATATATTGTAGTCTAGTATTTTTTTGTATCAGAGAGAGTGTTTTTATTTTAATTGTAGTTAAAGTTCTCTGTGTTTTGACATTTTTATTATTATTTTTAAAAAATTCAGGATATATTATTATAGAATGTTATGTATGTATATATATAAAACAAATAATTGAGATACTATTGTATACATATATTTTATTAGTTAAATTACAGTAATTTCTACTTTTGTAGGTTCAGTTTTTTAAGTAAGTTATAGTCTTTATAGTTTTAACGAATTTTCCATTCTAGTTTTAGTTATTTTAGTAAATTGTTGTTGTCAAAAATGTAAATAATATTTTAAATGCTTGGCATAGTCAAAAATAATTGACAACTCAAATAAGTGTTATTTTAGTATTATTGAAATATTATAATAGTTTATATTTGAAAGTTAGTTGTTGCTGTTGCATTTTCTGTTTCATTTTACATTTAGTTAGGTTTCAGTCATTAATTCAAGTAAAATAATTATGATCAATAACAAATGATTTTAATCATGAAATTAAAAAATATTAAATAAATACATTTTAGGACCAAAGGATCATATTTTTCCAGTAGATTTTGAATCACTTGAGAATCACAGAGAAATTGAACCAACCACATTTACTTTTTAATTTTTTTATGATCTCTTTGTATCTTTTCACAGTGAGAACTAGCTAGTCTGCCCTTAGTCAATCTGTTAATAAGCCCAATATTTAACATTGGTTTTCTTCTTCAAGTCTACATAACTTGAGTGGGTGAGGTCAGGTTAGCATTTGCCTCCAGGGCATTTAAATAAATATTGTACTGCTCAGCAGCTGTCACATCAACAAACATATGCATAGATGGCAGGAAAGCCAACATTTTGAGTCCGTTCAGAGCCAAATCTCAGCGCACAGAGCAGCACCTCGGGGACTCGCTCAGCGCAATCTGCAGACGCGGTGGAAATTAAAACATCCCTCCCTCCAGGCTCAGAAAGCCTCTCTTTACATCCTCACCAGCATTTTTAATTGCTTTCCATCTGTATGAAGGTGCAGTAAAGTTGGACGATGTACAGGTGGCAACAGAGATAAAGGCGGGAGCGGAGCAAAGGCTGCTGGGAGGGACGGTACTTTCAGAGAAATGTGTTAATGAGTCTGTTCTAGCTGTTACTCCCTTCTTCCTCGTTCTATATCACTGGCTGTGTTCAGAATAGCATTTTTTATTTACTATATTAATATTTCTGAACTAAACTTTTTGCAATCCACAATGCAGTGCATTTGAATCATGGCTATTATACTTCACTAAAACAAAAACCTTAAAAATGCATTTTTGTTACCTGAAATAAAACTAAAAAGAACTAAAAAGAAAAAAATTTTAAAAAGAAAAACTTATTTTGTTTATGTTAGTTGACAAAGCTATATTTTTAATTTTATTTAGTTTAACTTTACGCACTAAAAAAAACCTAAAACAAATAAAAAAATTAATAAAAAAGTAGACATTTAAAAAAAATAATATAAATTACTATTACTAATACTTAACTAGTTCAAATTGAAACTGAATGGAAATAAAATAACCTTTAAAATGACATTGATTCGAGTTTTTTCACTTTTTTTGGGGGGGGGGGACTATGCCAAGCATATAAAATATTATTTTATTTCATATTGTACACATAGGAACTCAAATAAAAAAATAGGGTCACTACTATTATCTTCATCGCTCAAAATATGAAGGAATATTAGCTGTGGGTATCCCACTGATCCACTAACATGTTTGTCAAAATAACCAAGGCATTTCAACAAAAAATTGTGCTTCAGAATACAATTAATTTATGAAATATACTTTAAAAACGGTCCTTCTACTCCTGTTAGGATAACTTCGAATAGGACTAAGAACAATAGGCAGTATATAGTATGTACTAAACAGTATTCATTATGCAAGTATTATATTCTGAACACAGCCAGCTTCCTTTTTACTTTCCTTTCTTCCTCAAGGCACTGATAAACGGTTTCTCTCAGCTGGAGATCTTTAAAGGGATACTCCACCCCAAAATTACCCTCGTATATATTTTCAGAATAGTCCATCTGCCATCAGTGGTTCAACTGTAACGTTATGAAGCGACAAGAATACTTTTTGTATGCAAAGAAAACAAAAATAACGACTTTATTTAACAATTCTTCTCCTCTGTCTCTCTCCGTAGCGCCACTTTGGAGAATATCTGCTGAATGCAAGCAGCGTACGCTATTCTGTGTCACGCGCGTGTCAATAAAATTGTTATTTTTGTTTTCTTCGCGTACAAAAATTATTCTCGTCGCTTCGTAACGTTACGGTTGAACCACTGATGGCAGATGGACTATTCTGACGATGACTTTCATACTTTTCTGGACCTTGACAGTGTAATTTACTTGGCAGTCAATGGGACAGTCACAAGCCTCCCGGTTTTCATCCAAAATATCTTAAATTGTGTTCCGAAGACGAACGAAGCTTTTACGGGTTTGGAACGACATGGGGGTAAGTGATTAATGACAAAATTTTAATTTTGGGGTGGAGTATCCCTTTAAGAGAGCAGTGAAAGGTTGGCCAGGGAATGTCTTTCAAGAACAGAATGGCGACACCTGATATCGTCCTCGTTTGCGAACATGATGATGGCCCGAGCGTTGGGGGTCTCCAGGAGGCGGCGGATGATCTTGTCGAATTCCCCAGGCCTCGGCTCCCGAGGGATCTTCAGAGACTGTGCGATACACACGCCACCTAGACAGAGAAAGAGACTGAGAATTAGGCTTTGTTCATTCTACACACAAGATCCCATTTGTTTTCTAAATCCAGCCATTTGCAAGCGATGCAGTCGGGTCTGTTTATTCAGTGTAGTCAAAAACATGCATGTCTACATTGTTTGCCGGAATAAAGACATATACGCTAACAAGAGAATTGTATTAATTATAATTCAACATGTACATTAACTTTTGGGGAAAATCACCAATTAAATCTGACAACAACTGTCTCATAAATGGTGTTCCTAAGCATGTCTCCAGAGTGCTGACTCTTTCTATAGCAACTGGGACTTCTAACGGCGCGATGACGTTACCGATTAGCTCTTTTATTCAGAAGGCAGGGCTTCCTTTGATAGAGTGGCCATATTGGGCTTTGCATTTTTCCCCATTCAAAACTATATGAGTGACAGGTCTTGGGTATTCTATAGTCTTTGACGTCCTCATTCAGATTTTGTCTTCAGGTGCTTAACATCATTTATTCAAACTTAACACGACAGACTTACAAAAACCAGGTCTTGACAGGCCATATTGAGGTGGACAGAATCATATTTCATATTTAATGTAAGCTGTAATATCTAAGCCTCCAACCCATCAAGAGCTCGATTATACCATTAACGTCCCGAACGTGGGTGAATGATGGACTTCCTCCTGTTACAGTCCATTTAATGAGCGCCGGCTTTTCCTCAGTGAGTCGTGTCGCTGTGTGCCAAACGAATGTGACACCTTATACATTCTGTCACAATGACAAATACTAATTAGCCTTAATTAATGCCCCTCACAACGGTAATCACCAATCTGTTGCATTCATGCCCTCCTCCGATCCATGATGATTGTGAGGTTATGGTGTGCAATATTTGCTTGGAGCTACACTACAGAAGAAACAGTCGTTTAAGTCATTAGCTGCCATTTTTGTGTTGTTGCTTTTTTTATTATTATTAATTTTATTAATATTAATGCTACATTAAAGCCAGATGTGACGCTATGAATAAAAAGTAGCTTTGAAGATAGAATACATTCAAAATGTTTTTTGAAAGAAATTAATAGTTTTATTCAGCAAAGATCAATTAAATTGATCAAAAGTGAGAGTAAAGACATTATTAGAATGATTTCTGAAGGATCATCTGGTCCTGATGCTGTAAAATGATGCTGAAAATTCAGCGATGGATGGATGGATGGATGGATGGAGATGGATGGATGGATGGATGGGTGGATGGATGGATGGATGGATGGATGGGTGGATGGATGGATGGATGGATGGATGGGTGGATGGATGGATGGATGGATGGATGGGTGGATGGATGGATGGATGGATGGATGGGTGGATGGATGGATGGATGGATGGATGGATGGATGGATGGATGGATGGATGGATGGATGGATGGATGGATGGATGGATGGATGGATGGATGGATGGATGGATGGATGGATGGATGGATGGATGGATGGATGGATGGATGGATGGATGGATGGATGGATGGATGGATGGATGGATGGATGGATGGATGGAAAGCCCATTTCCTAGCAATTCTGAGATTGTATCTCACAATTTGGACTGCAGCTTTGATGAGCATAAGAGACTTTTATCAAAAACATTTAAAAAAAAAAAAACTTACATCCGCAAACTTTTGCATGGTAGTGTATCTAACATATTTTTGTATTGTATACATATTTGTAAAATACATACCTATCGAATGATATTTACATACCTAAGTTAGCTCACTGCAACATGATGAAAACAGTAATGGACTCTTTCATCACACTACAACGCTGCCTGTTGGAAAAAGTAGCTTGCTACAAGAATAGCTACTGTTCTGAAAACAGCTAAGCTACTGTCACGCTACAGAACCAAAGTAGCAACAACACGGGGCACAGAGCATGTCTTTCTAACTCACTGATGTCTCTCCAAATCTCTTTCCAAATACAGAATGAGGCTTTTATGTGCCATAAATGGGAGAACATCAAAAGGCCAATGAATTAGCATTCCAGAGCTTGGTGACTTTTCAATACACCAAATTCCTTTTGCATTTTGTGCCTTTCCATTTATCCGGCTTTCAATAGCAGATATAGCAGTCTTTGTGTTGCACAGGGACACATATTCAGCTAAATTGCGAGGAAGAGAAACACTGGATTTACTAAAGCTCATAAATTGATTGCATTAGCAGACATCAGCATTGCAGCATGTTGCAAGGAGTGAGCTGGAAGATTTTGGGGTTGAGCACTGAGATAAGCAGCTCCGCCTATCGGTGACTAATGCAGAAATTAGTCACTACACAATTAATATGCATGAATGACTGCATTAAAATATGGTCAGTTTATTTTTAGTTCTAAAAGAACAGGAAGAATAACTGTGAAGCCGTCATGCACTCACTTCAAAACCTTCAAAACAATTCATTGCAATAATACTCGAAGTGCACAGTGACTTCTCTAATTGTTTGAAGCAGCAGTTTGAAGTCATTTAAGCAGCTTGTCTGGCAATAAAATGATCCCTCCTATATCAGGGACACGACAAGCTCCAGCGTCTGTGCTAATCTTTAATGATTGGATTTTCACTGCTTTATGAATCATGAATTGTCTAATTGTATCCAGCCTCGCATGTTGCCCCTCAAACACACGCATGGGCCTGCTAATGCTGTCATTTATTTCCATTGCTGGGAAACTGAGCATTTTCTTAAGTGAAGCGATTCACATTGGGTAATTAACTTTCTGTTTGATGGCTGTTTGGATCTGTGACTGACCGAAGGCAACTATGTACTGTCTGAGACACTATAACACATTCATTCTATACAAAATGATTTTATACCAATTTATCTTTTGAAATATAGCATTGTTTTCCAGATTTTCAACCCCGAAGATGATTTATATATAAATCAACATTTCTAAATTGTAAATAAAGATTAACCGAGTAGGTCTTACAATAAAATGCTATCAGTCTTTAAAAAAAAAAAAAAGTTTAAATTATGAGAAAATAAATAAAGAAAATAAATTCAGAATTTTCTGTGCTAATCTTTAATGATTGGATTTTCACTGCTTTATGAATCATGAATTGTCTAATTGTATCCAGCCTCGCATGTTGCCCCTCAAACACACGCATGGGCCTGCTAATGCTGTCATTTATTTCCATTGCTGGGAAACTGAGCATTTTCTTAAGTGAAGCGATTCACATTGGGTAATTAACTTTCTGTTTGATGGCTGTTTGGATCTGTGACTGACCGAAGGCAACTATGTACTGTCTGAGACACTATAACACATTCATTCTATACAAAATGATTTTATACCAATTTATCTTTTGAAATATAGCATTGTTTTCCAGATTTTCAACCCCGAAGATGATTTATATATAAATCAACATTTCTAAATTGTAAATAAAGATTAACCGAGTAGGTCTTACAATAAAATGCTATCAGTCTTTAAAAAAAAAAAAAGTTTAAATTATGAGAAAATAAATAAAGAAAATAAATTCAGAATTGTAAGATAAAAAGATATAATAAAGAAATTCAATTATGAAAAAAGTTTGAATTATGATATATAATGAGAATGATGAGAAAATACATTTGGAATTATTAGATACAAATGCATAACTATTAGAAAAAAGTTTGGCATTATGATATGTCATCATTATGAGAAATGATTTTTGTTCTACTTCAGAATTTTGCATTTAATTCAATGTGTTACTTGTCATTTCTTTGCAATTATTTGTGAAATTTACTAGCAATTTCCAAACGAAGTCAGTTAATTTTGAAAAATTACAGAAATATGATATAATGTCAGAATTATGAGAACATAAATCCGTAATTATGAGATAATTAAAAAACAATTATGAAAAAGAAGGTTGGAATTATGAGATATACTCATAAATATGACTTCTTATGTGCCATTTATTTGCAATTATTTGTGAAATTTACTAGCAATTTCCAAGAGAAGATTGTTTCAAAGTCAGTTAATTTTGAAAAAAATCTGAATTATGATTTAATGTCAGAATTATGAGAACATAAATCCGTAATTATGAGATCATTATAAGACAATTATGAGAAAGAAGGTTGGAATTATGAGATATACTCATAAATATGACTTCTTATGTGCCATTTATTTGCAATTATTTGTGAAATTTACTAGCAATTTCTGAGTGAAAACTGTTTCAAAGCCATTTTTGAATGTACTTTTTGGACAATCCAGTGAATTAAATACTCATATACCCAAAACAGTGACACTAATATTATAAAACAGACCAAGCTCAAAAACCAGGGCGGGAAGAGTCACTAAAAACTGCCAATGAAGTGGATTTATTGTCAGTCACTTTGATGGTGATGCATATTGAGCTTTTTAAGCGAAATGCAAACACGAAAATCACAAACACTCATCTGGGCTCGAGTCATGAGACATATGCTTAATGGAGATTTGATTCATTCCACATTAAAGCCTATGTGACAAAGCATGTTTCAGGGCGGTAATGGCAAAGAACTCAGTAACACAATCCTTATTATTGTGGCTTATTACACCATCCATTAAGCAACAAAAGTGTGCCGTACTTCCTTGTGTGTGGAGATATTGAACACTCAGAAATTAAGGACCACTGAGGTGGTGAAAGCTCACCTGGATTTGTCCCCAGAGATGATTCCCACGCTTCCTGAAGGGCCAGATATCGGGCAAAGCCAATAACGCTGGATAAAACTCAAGTGCCAGAATGGCTGTTTTAAAATACCCAAATTGAATGCTTAATAATCTCATGTGTAGTATTGTTTCCCCATGGCGCTGACCTCCTCCGCTCTCCGCATGAAGTGATTCGGTCGTCAGTTCCTCCAAACATCAAATGTGGGAGCGCTTCTTGCTCATGAAAGCAGCACAGAAGCTTCGGGAACGTGTTTATTCAACATCTCCACCCACACACGCATCACAAAGGTGTTCGAATACAACCCGCATCCACCCACACGCGCGTGCCTGACGCCATGCGTTTCACAACACATATTCACTGCCATTCGCTGC